GAGGGTAAGCGGCTGGCAAGTAGTTAGAAAAAAAAAAAACTATTAAAAAAAAAAAATGTAAAAAAAATATACTTATTAGAATAGTTAAATGTTACCACAGTAACATTGTACTACTTTTTTTACACTTTGCTTTACAGGAGAAATAAAGATAATTTCTTCTGCAATGCAAAGCTTGCGGTCATGAATCTAACTCATTCATGAACTGTCATGAATGAGTTAAGTTTTGACAGCTCAGGATAGTGATCTGTGATCGGCTGGAGCTGGTCACATGGAACAGGGTTCTGTGATTGGCCTCACATCATGTGACAGCTGTGGGCCAATCACAGCTCACTAGGAAGAGGAGCAGAGCTGCTATGAATGAGATTAATTCATAACAGCTTTGCTTACATTGTGATCGCATAGCGATCACATGATCACAAGACCCCGTTCACCAGGATCCTCTCATTTTGCTGTGTCCGCTGGATACAGCAGTCGCAAGGGGGTGCGCTGCGTGTCTGCTCGGGTGAGCGGCGCCCCCGTGTTAGTACAGCCAGAGCGACGTACGGGTACGTCACTTTGCCTGTAGCTGCCGCTCTGCCACAGTACATTGCGGGCGGGAAGTGGTTAATATTGATAGGATAGGTTCATCTTTCTATACAGTGTTTATTAGTGTACATATATGCACTTTGGAACACTGTTTTAGATCCCCATTTGGTAAACTGGAATCAACCAGTACAACATGTAATTATTTAAAGCTGATGAATAGAGCACTGAGTTGTAAGAGTGATCTAAAGTGAAGTGAATACTGCAAACAGGACACCAAAGGCCAAGAAAGCGCCCATAAACTGATATTCATCAATAACATCCACAAGCCCCTAAAGAACAGCCACACAGTATAAAATTTCCATGGCAAAAACCTCTATATATGAATATGATATGAAACAAAATAAGAATCCTTTACCCGGGCACAAAGACACCAATGCAGGACGTGGTAAAGAATATGAATATTGAAGCAATCATTATCTAAAGCGCAAACTGTTATTTTTTGCTTGTGAAAACGTTATAACCTGTCAGGATTTTATTGCAATCTGTACTATCATGTAGCTTTTAAAAAGGTTTAAAAAAGGATTTTTTTACCTAACATAATAAAACATACAATTGTACTGCACAAAAACGGCCCCAAATCTCCTCTTCTGGGGTCCCACTCCGCCGCTCTCTGCTCCTCATCTTCTGTGTTTGCCCCTTAGCAAGCAGCTTGCTATAGGGACAGATTGGCTGACTTGCTTCTGAGCCGGGTTGTGTGTGTGTGTCTATAGACATACACAGTGTGGCTTAGCCTCATCCTACCGCCCACTCTGTGCTCAGCCCCACCCTACGCTCCTTCCTCACAGAATTTGATTGACAGCAGCAGAAGCCAATGACTCCTGTTGCCTCTCTGTCCTGTGAACTTAGGGAGAGAGGAGAGAACTGCTACAGACTTGCACAACACTGGATCGAGTGAGGACTCAGGTAAGTATTTGGGGGTCGGAAGAGAAGCTGACTGGCTGAATGAAAAAAAAAACTGTACCGTGCAAAGCCAGCTTAAGGCAGACACCTGATTGGCCACTATTGGCCCCACCGAAGAGATTAAAAAATGCAATATAGGCTTTAATGAAGAAACCAGTATAGAAAAATCGTCCACTGTGCTTCAGATTCGTTTTGGAGAACAGCCGGTTGAATCTCAGTGCCTTATTGCAGTACCTTAAACTGGTACTGGCACTCAGAAGATCTAGTGAGTCAAGTCAGGCTTCAGTCTTGAAACCACAAACTGTCATCAAGAGTCACGGTCCATCACTATAACTTGGGGTTGTACTGGTGAAATCCTGGCCTTCACATCCTGCTACAAAGTGCTCCATCAGAAGCATTGTGTTTATCCACTTGTCTACCAAGGTACATTTAGAAGTGGCATAGTAGACAAGTGGTTAAATCAAGCTGATGGCTGCACCTGCATCTGTGAGCTTGTAATGGCTTTAAGAGCCAGAGAAAGGCTTTCTAATAAAAGTGATTGGGGAGATGCAGCACACACAGTGGTTCCTGGGCTCTCCCATTCCTCCTGGGAGCCCGGGATTGCAGGAAATAGCTTTCTTAGTGAAAGCAGGAGGAACCTGGGGAATATCCATTTCCTGACCTCTCCTGCGACTAATGACCCTGGAAGCAACATGTATTACAAAATTTCTAGGGTCACAGCTGTCATTCCTCAGCTAGTGTAGCCGATGATACAGCTATTCAAACTCAGTCTGTGTTTGAAAAGCTGCGTGGAGGGGCAGGGGAGACCTAAAATGTCTCCATAGACCTAATATGCAGCAAATGTTTTCCCATGTATGTATAATAGACCTCCAAAGTCTCAAAGAGGACCTGTCACCTTCACTTGCCATAACATAAGGGGCTTGTTAGCCCCATTGGGAGAGTAATAAAATAATAAAAAAAAATTAAAGCCAAAAAAAAAACCAAAACATTAATACATAAGATAAACGTAAAAGAAATTTAAGGCACTCCCGTCACTCCATATAAAAAGCACAGTAATTGTAAACATCAACTGCGCCACATGTGAGGTATCACTGTGAACGTCGGCATGACAGAAAAAAATACTAGGGCCATAGCTCACAGTTAATTCTAAACTTGTGACCTTTAACAGCTTTCCTGCCACCCTATATTAGAACGACTGCTACAGGGAGACAGGGCTGCGCAAAATCACATATATATACACACACACGTGATTTGCATTAGCGGCAAGGGATGTCAATCACTGGGTCCCACCTGGAGATTCCCCACCAGCAAATGGCAATCGCCATGTAGAACTGACAGGGGAGAGACCTGTGTGTAAACAGGTTATATTGCCCTGTCACCTCCCTAAATACTGACCAGAGCCCTATCTTGATCCAGCGCTGTACCCTTCTCTTCACAGGACACCGCAAACAGCAGGCCATTGGCTTAGGCTGCTGTCAATTAAATCCTGTGAAGAGAGAGTGGGTGAGGGGGCCAATCCACGCTGTGTATCTATAGACGCCCACAACCCGGCTCAGGAGCAAGCATGCAGGTTAGTGGCTTCCTATAGTGGCACACCAGGAAGGGGAAGTGCCAAGAACGTCAGCGGGACACCCTAAGAGAGGAGGTTCGAATCCGCTTTGTGCAATTCTATTGTATTACGTGTATTATTTTAATTTAAAAAAGAAAAAAAAAAAAAAAAAAAAGCTTTACAAATCACTTTAAAAAAGGAGAACTCCAGTAATTAAATCACTGTTTAAAAGAAGATGGCCCCAGCTACTATCGCTATATTGCTGACACTCAACAGAAGAGATGTGGCTGCTGTGTGACTGCCTGCCCCTCCTCTCCACAAATCATTACCTGCAAGCTTTGCATTTACTGAATGGATTCACATAATACCAAGCTTTCCATGACTGGGCAAGAAGAGAAGAGGGGTGGGTACAGCAGCTGTATTCAACTCTGCAGTTGCAGAATCTGAGACCGAAAAGTCCAGCGCTGGAGCACCAGAAGTATAACGACAGCTGTACTCCCGGCAATCAGTAAAATGTAAAAGGGAGAAAATTCCCGAAACATTATACACCTTGGTGGAAGTTGTAAGCCAGCACATTCTAAATTACTTAATTCCAGGAGTTCTTAAGCCACTGTGTGGCCCTCTGGAATTGTGGAGAGCCTCTACATTTACCAAGTTAACCTCCTACAGCAGCAAGAGTAAGACCTTGTACACACAGGCTTTAGCTTGTATAAGAACAGAATGTACAGTAGACTTTAATAAAGCTGCTGAAAGCTTGACATAAGTTTTACAAATGCTTTTCAAAGCATACAAAACGCCTGTTTGAAGATGCTGAAAATAAATGTAGCCCATTAAACATTGCTAGCAAGAAGGCTTCTGTTGCAAAAGGATAAGCTTTGTCTCTTCTGCAATAAAAGCTTTTCTTCCTCCAAGTAATATTTGATTTGGACGTACGCTGAGCTGTGCATGCAAAGCTCAGGGTACACATATGCTGACAGTATGATTTACCTTCAGTGCATATGTATGGGCGTTAAGTCTTAGATAGCTGATAACGCCATCATTGTTTCTGCATAGTCAGTCCATTAAAAATTGGTAGTTCAGCTTTACAAGGTTGCTGGTAGTGTCAAATCACAAACTTCCATTTAGTATCTTTTATGGGCTCCTGTGACTATTTATATGCCAATTAGAATTTCCAGTTCCATCCACCATTAAAAAGTCAAAACACAGAAACAATCCCCCCTCATACATAGAATATATTAATTGCAATCTCTATCTAAGTAATGCCCTACAGAATTGCAGGAGAAAGGTTCACCATTAAATTCTCAGAGATAAAAACTGGGCATGGTAAAGAGGAGCTTCGGTCAGTTCAAAAATGAATAGTAACAAAAACTGTAGCAGCTGACTTAAAAAACCAGACACTCACCTGTCCAAGGATCCAGCACCATACTCACCTGGGCTGGTTCTGCACATCTTCAGGTACCTGGTACCGGCATGTTAACTACAGCAGGCTGTACTCCACGCAGCTTCATAGCTGGCTTTCCTCTCAGCCGTGCTGAGCTTTGTAAATGGTCCCACAGCCTTCTGGAACATGTAACATACCCCAGAAGGTTGTGGGCTGGGAGGGAGAGAGGAGAGTTTCTAGTGGATCCAATCCGACCGAAAGTCACAACATGTGTGTGGCGGGAAAGGTTACATAATTCACTTGCCCTTTCTCCCAGCTTCCAGCCATGCCACCTAGGCAAAGGTGATGCCATCTCCCTCTCAGCAGGAATTTTAAATAGCCCAATCTACACTGGGCTACAGAGCCTTTCCATGAGATTTGGAGTGCTCAGCATCCCCGAGATCTTGCTGCAGGTCATCGTTCCCTGAAGTATGGAAGCTGGGGGAAAGGTGAGTATATTCTCGATTAAAAAAATATTTTAGAAAGTTCAGTGCACTGCAATATTTAGGATGCAGCAGAGTATAAATAAACAAAATAGTAGCCAACCTCTGCTTGCTCTTCTTCCTCTTTGTTCTGTTCTCCATCACTACCATCTACCTCCCCATCTTCTTCATCACTACTGGAAGATTCCAGGATTTCACTCATGTCCATTTTCCAGCTGTCGGGGACTGCCCGTGACTTCAGGAAAGCTGTGGCTTCCTTTAAACCTAGGAGAAAACAAAATTGTGATTTATTATTTTTTTTTTAAAGGAAACAAATGTTCTCAGACCATTTTATTTTGGTCTTGGACTCAGAGCTCACTTCAGGCTCAAATGTTAGTCCCACTGGGACCTAAGCAGAAAATGAACCTGTCAGGTACTATAATAAATTGTGCACGCACGCTACATTAGTAATCACCCAGTAATTTTTTTTTTTCCAATTGAAAAACTCTGACTTTACACTCTAATCAACTTTATGTGCAGCAGTATGTTGCGATGCCAAAATATGCTATGCAGATTGAAATGTCTACGCGTCAGGACTACATTGGGAAACCCTGCCAAACAGGGAGGATATAAACATGCCCCAGGTGTGTAGACAGTACCTAGCAATCTGCCTTTGGTGGCGCCAAACTTGAATGCCACCACTCAAACGTCAGATGCTGAAGCCTCCAATGGTCGTTAAGGCTCTGCAATGCTATGGGTAAATTTTATTTTATCTATTACAGGTAGTTGTATAGCGCCATCCATTTACGCAGTGCTTTACATTTATTTTACATTCACATCAGCCCCTGCCTTCAAGGAGCTTACAATCCAAGGTGCCTAACTCACAATTATATAGATATGTACTAGGGCCAAATTAGACAGGAGTCAATTGACCTACCAGCAGGTCTTTGGAGTGTGGGAGGAAACTTGAGTACCCAGAGGAAACCCACTCAGGCACAGGAAGAACATGCAAACTACAGGAAGGTAGTGTCATGGTTGGGATTCGACCCAACAACCCTAGTGCTGCCAGGCAGAAGTGCTAACCATTTAGCCATTGTGGGGCTTAAGCAAAGAAGTTGGTGGAGGCTTAGTAATAGAACTTGGTAAAAAAGGTATGTCTGGAGTACAGGGGCCCCAGGAAACCATGAATGGATTTTTAACATTCACATAAACTTTGCGACAACAGGAGGTGCCTACAAGCTTTGCAGTATTCTTAGTTAAGCAACTTTTAAAAACAGATTCACTGCTGCAATAGTGAAGAGTATCTATAGTCAAAACATAAAAAATATATTAATTTCCACATTGTATTTCAGTTATTACTAGCCTACTTTTATTAATCTGAATAGTCTTGAAGTTTGTAAACTCACTTTGTGAATCCCACGTATTTACTTTTTTTTTTTTAATTCTGTGACACATTTACTATGTCCTGGGAGTAGGCCCTGCTATGCCACAGAATTCATAGACTCTTTTTTCTGAACTACAGAGGTGCCGAGAGGAGGAGTTTTAGGAGGCAGAGTCAGTAAAGGGATCGCTGCTTCAAGGTAACAAGGTACCATGGGATATGTAGCCCTAGAAGCTGAAAAGCAGAAGCAGAGCAGAACAAGCAAAGAATGCAGAGAAATTCAGGAAGATAGACAGGCAGCACCCAAATTTCAAATGCTAACGCTATAAAATGAGAGTGTACAATGTGACCACAGAACTCCTATAAATGTTGCACCTGTATTGCCCCTGTGCCTCTACAATGTGTACAGAGTACTGCCTTTTGGAAAGTTCACTTTCCTGCCATTGGGACATAGATTCTTGCTGTGTGTGCGCTATTGATGATCATGCACATCCAAAAAATGGATTTGTGTCTGATTCAGAATGGGAATATCCAAGCCAAAATTACTGCCCTCTCCAAAAAGTCCATTTAGAGACCACAGACCTTTAGAGACTGTTCTGTTCTGTAATTACTAGCATTAGTTAGTCACGTGAACTGAAGGAGCTAAATGTCTTCAACATTACAGAACATGTCCAACTGAATGTAACTAACTACTACTAGCTACTCCATGACTTGGACAAATGAGAACCTTCACAGACAGACACTCCCCCTAATGTATTCTAGAAACATGCAATCAGCAACATAGACTTTGAGGAAAAAAAAGGGAGCAGGTTGTGAACCTCTTTTTTGGGAACACTAGTTCCTTGGCTGCCATGTAGACACTTTGGCTTCAATGGGGTCAAAATGCTCATTTATAATGTGTTTGCTCTGGGCATGTGACACCTAGAAGTAATACATTCATACCAGGTTTGCTAGAGCTTTCCAATTTCAAAGTATTGATGTCAAGTTCCTCAAGATCTTTCCTTGCAACAGAGTGGCTGAAAAACATTTAATCAAAAAATTTAACATAAAAATCAAGAACACACATATCAAAATTATTTTTCATACCAAAAACAGACTGACAGATATAAACAATGTCATTCCTAACACAAAATTGGCTCAAGGAAAAAAAAATCCCATATTTTAGTAAATACAGTCCAATGTCTTATTAATCTGCATAAAAATGCATGCATGTCCCGCCCCCTCCATGTACTCCGATGGACCCGTGCATACCAGTGCAGTCAACAAAAAACTAACACCTGCTGCTTTTTTTCTGTAAGGAACGCATCTGGAATGCAGCGAAACGCATGTAAACACACCAAAGATGCACCGGATTGCACCCCGCCCTAATATTTTTCAAGTGTAAAAAACAAAACACCAGAACACATCAAAAACACATATAAACGCATATACAAAAACACACCAAGAATGCAGAAATTGTGATGTGAACTAGCCCTTAGACAGATGTCCACATTGGAGGATTTCTCCTCAATTTGTGCTCCAGTACTATCTCAAAACCCTTTGCACTGCATTATCACAAAACAGATTCCAAACTGTGTGCTTAAGTGGCGGTTCACATATATGTGGATTGGATGTGGTTTGAACCGCACCCAACCCACATGACATGTGAAATACCATTGCTTTCTATGGTGCCTGTTCACATATATCCGGTGCAGTGCGGTTTTAAAAAAGTTTCTGAGCAGTGGTTTCAGGTTCGGGTGCGGATTACAGGCTATTGACTTCTATGGCAACCATTCCTAAACCGCATATGTGTGAACAGGATAAAATCCTGAGCTAATCTTGTCCTGAACCTGATGTAAACCTGACATGAACCTTTGATCAGCTACTGTATCAAGTAGCTGTGAAACCTGAGCTTCAATCCGCACCGCATATGTGTGAATCAGCTCTAATTCTCAATGAAGCCTCTCTGCACTTGACAAAATGGTTTAAAAGAAAAATCACCAGACAAGTATTTTATTTTGACAAGATGGAAGAATAAAACGTCAGTATTTATCGATCTAACAGTGTTCCTATCGAAGCAATTTCTCCTCACCTCTGGGAAGGAAGTGATCGGAAATGACTGCAATGGGAACATATACAGCACCTGATAGATGTTCAAACTCTTGCCACGCTGATCAAAAATAGGAAAAACAAACATTTTGACGAAGGTTGTCTAACCTTATGTTAGCTGTGATCTACAATGGTATTTGAGGTGCTTAGGAGTTGGATAAACCAGTGCTCTCTCAGGAAGAACAAATGCTATTAACCTCTTGCCGTCCGCCTGCTGTTTATAAACGGCAGGGCGGTGGCAGTCCAGGGTCGGGTTGCCGTCCATAAACGGCACCCGCCTTTTCTAGCTGTGCGCGCTCCCTGGGAGCGCGCACCACTGCGATTCGGTGCCCGCTGTGTCCTCCGGACACAGTGAAACACCGATCGTCGGACGGGACCTCTGTACGAGGTCCCGATCATGTGATCACTGATTGGCGAATCAGTGATCACATGCAAAGTAGTAAGCAAGATGTCACTTGTGACATCATTGCTTACTATGTGTGAAATCTGTGAATGATCACAGAGGTCACATGGTACAAGGCTATTCACAACAGCCTTGTACAATGTGACAAGCTGTGACCACTCACAGCTCACTCAGTAATTCTCAATGACTGCAGGAATGCAGACAGAGAGAAAGAGAAATGATTGCTTTTACATCCTATATGGGTGTAAAAGCAATCAGTGTAAAAAAAAAAAAAAAAAAAAATCTTCATCACCCTCCACAAGTAGTACAGTGTCACCATGGTGACAGTGTACTGCTAGGGTGACAGTATGTAAAAAAAAAAAAAAAAAAAAATAATAATAATAATAATAATATAAAAAAATAAAATAAAATGTAAAAAAAAAAGTTTAAAAATTATAATTTTTGGTTATAAACTAATTTGGATTTTTTTTTTTTTTACTAAAAAAATAACAGAATAAATTTTGGCTAAGATTTATGATGAAATATTATTTATTTGCAAAATTTTATTTAAAAAAAACACTTTTCAAAATTTTTGAACTTTTTCATTTACATAGTAAAAAAAATAAAAATCCCAGCGGTGAATAAATACCACCAAAATAAAGCTTTATCTGTCTCAAAAAAATGGTAAAAAATTCATATGGGTACAGTATTGCATGACCGCGCAATTGTCATTCAAAGTGTGATAGCGCTGAAAGCTAAAAATTGCCCTGGACAGGAAGGGGTAAAAGTGTCCTGACAGGAAGTAGTTAAGGCCTTATGCACACAAGACCGTTTTTGTCCTGCTTCCAAATGCCCCTCCATGTTAGCCTATGTGCCCATGCGTACATAGACTTTTAGCAGTGTTTAATGGCAAGAGAGTTTAGAAGAAAGAAAATGCATGTTAGCGGCAGGTGCATTTAGCTCTTGAGCGTTAAGGGATTTCCATGACCAGTATAAATTATTATTCTGGCAAATGGAATGAACTTCCAAAACACCCAATTCCTGGAAATGTGCCTAAACGCTTGTAAAAGTATTAGACACTTTTACAATTGTCAGGTGTGTTTTCTGCCAAAATGCTGCTGCCAAGAGGAAAAGCATTTTCAAAACGTCCAGTGTGCACGAGGCCTAAAGGTCAAAGTAAAAATGTTAAAAAGTGTAGCTGAACATCTTAACTGCTTCCTGACTGCACTATAGCAGAAATACTGCTACGGGGCAGCAGGGCTGTGCAAAATCACGTATATACACATGATTTTGTATTTCCGGGTAGGGGGCGTGCTGGCGCGTCGCCACTGGTGGCTACAGCTGCCAATCACCGTGTCCCAGTCAAAGATTCCCCGTTGGCACCCGGTGATCGTCCAGGAACAATGAGAGGGGAGAGGTCTGTATGTAAACAATACAGATCTCTCCCCTGTCAGCACAGCAATACAAAGCAGCGTGCTTACATAGTAAAGAACACACAGACAACACAGTAAAACAGCACATAACCCTTTGATCGCCCCAGATGTTAACCCCTTCCTGCCCAGTGCCATTAGTACAGTGGCAGTGCTTTTTATTAGTACTGATCACTGTATAAATATCAATGGGGATGTCAGTGGCAGTTAGTCAGTTCCCCCTAGTGTCATAATGCCCGCTACATTACCACTATAAGTCGCTGATCGCCATTACTAATATATATATATAAAAAAACAAATTCCAAGATGTATATCACCATTTGTTTCTTTAATAAGCAAACTCTTCATTAAAAGAAGATATATAACCACATCATACAGCAAACAAATGTGACACCAGTATAATGGCAAAAGGTACAATTACACAATCAAAAAATACTGGTCGTAGGCAAGCAGAATAAAACTAACAAAGTCCATCTAACATGGCACCAATACCACAGGGGTAGATGCACAAAACAGAAGAACAAAAAAACTAACAAACTATAATTACGTGTCCTCTTCCACAACACAGGTGGGTGCAGAGTCAAGTCATTTATCCCAAATTTTATGATATTTTACAGGGCATTCTCCATGCATATAGATAACCTTCTTATATGGTAATATACTATTTATTGCAGCAACCCATTGGGAGAAAGTAGGCGGCAGTGCTCAAAGCCAGGTTCAAGCAATTAGTAATCTGGCTATAAAGAGAGTTTCCGGTAAGAAAATAGTCTGAAATTTGTCAGTTTCCGAGTTGAGAAGACCCAGTAAACATTGTTAGGGCACAGAGTAAGTGACAAACCCATTTTGTCAAGGAGGAACTGAACCACCTGAATCCAGTATTCCTGAATAAGTGAGCAAAATCATGTGAGATGAAAAAAGGTACCAGAGGGGACTATACTGTGGTCGGTATCTACACCCTGTTCCAAATTATTATGCAAATTCTATTCAAGTGTCACAAAGAATAAATATTTTGTTTTTCAGTTTAACTCATGGATGGCATTGTGTGTCAGGGCTCTTTTGATCACTGAAAACAATCTCGTACACCTGTGATAATTAGATTGGCAGGTGAGCCCAATTTAAGGAAAAACTACTAAAGGAGGGTGTTCCAAATTATTAAGCAGAGCACCATTTTCAAGCAATATGGGGAAGAAAAAGGATCTCTCTGCTACCGAAAAGAGTGAAATAGTTCAATGCCTTGGACAAGGTATGAAAACATTAGATATTTCACGAAACCTTAAGCGTGATCATCGCACTATTAAGAGATTTGTGGCTGATTCAGAGCACAGACGGGTTCGTGCAGATAAAGGCACATTGAGGAAGATTTCTGTCAGATCCATGCATCGGATCAAGAGAGCAGCTGCTACAATACATAGCAGAAAACAGATATTTGAAGCTGCTGGTGCCTCTGGAGTCCCACGGACATCAAGGTGTAGAGTCCTCCAGACTGCATTTGGCAGAAAAATACATGAAGACTAATTTTCAAACAGTCCTGTTCACTGATGAGTGCCGTGCAACCCTGGATGGTCCAGATGGATGGAGTAGTGGATGGTTGGTGGACGGCCACCCTGTTCCAACAAGGCTGCGACGTCAGCAAGGCGGTGGTGGAGTCATGTTTTGGGCCGGAATCATGGGAACAGAGCTGGTCGGCCCCTTTAGGGAACCCGAAGGTGTAAAGATGACCTCTGCAAAGTATGTGGAGTTTATGACTGACCACTTTCTTCCCTGGTACAGAAGGAAGAACTATGCTTTCCATAATAAAATCATCTTCATGCATGACAATGCACCATCTCATGCTGCAAAGAATACCTCTGCATCAATGGCTGCTATGGGGATAAAAGGAGAGAAAGTCATGGTGTGGCCTCCATCCTCCCCTGACCTAAATCCTATTGAGAACCTTTGGAGCATCCTCAAGCAAAAGATCTATGAGGGTGGGAGGCAGTTTACATCCAAACAGCAGCTCTGGGAGGCTATTCTGACATCTTGCAAACAAATTCAAGCAGAAACTGTCCAAAAACTCACAAGTTCAATGAATGCAAGACTTGTGAAGCTGCTATCAAATAAGGGGTCCTATGTTAAAATGTAACGTGACCTGTTAAAATGTTTAAAAAGTTAGAATGTTGTTAAAAGTTTGATTGAAATAGCTTTTGATTTCAGTAAATATGCTGCAAACACAACAAATGACAATTTTCAGTTCTTTACAACTTATAAAGTGTTTTGAAACTTACTGTGCGTAATAATTTGGAACAGTGCATTGGATGTTTTTTTTGTTTAAAAACAATACTGTTATCATTAGGAGGTTTGTTCAATAAAATGTGAATTGTACTCTTAATAGTTGATAACATGAAAATTATGCTGACTGTTATTTACATCAATTATTTAGGTAAATGAGAAAAATATCATTTGCATAATAATATGGAACACGGTGTAGATAGCCGAATAGGCGTTAAGTAGGTTCTATGAAGCATATACAGCTGGGTGAGAAGGTCTGACAGTATACTGGAGGATAACACCTCTTCCCATATCTCATCATCTAGCTCCCCCACGTCCGCCTCCCATCGAGATTTAAGTTGTTATGCCAAGGTTGATGCAGGAGGTAGAAGAAGCATTATAAAATGTGGATGTAAGTTTTTTGGATTCTGCACCCAGCATTACATCCATAAGGTATGAAGAATCCAGATGTCACCGAAATGGGCATGCAGCGTGTGTCGGAGCTGGAGGTATTGGAAAAGCAAAGTTTGGGAGGTCAAATTCTGATTTAAGGTTTTGAAAGGGTTTAATACCAGCACTGGTGAACAGCTGAGAAATGTACAGAATCCTTCTGTTGATACATAGATGAAAGTCAGGGAGAGTAAGCAACTCATGAAGGCTCAGGTTGTCCCATAGAGGGTTGTGGGCATGTATAGAAGGGGTTTGCAACTTACAGGAGGCTAGTGACCAGATCTTCCAGTGGTGGTACAGTAACCCACTGCGGCCACCCATTGAGGGGTCATGCATGCCCTTTAACAAGAGCTGAAAGGGATGAGTAGCCCCAGAGAAGACTGGAGCACACACCAAGGCAAGATAATGGTCTTTATCCCCTTTATCCAAGTGGAAAAAATTAGACGGTTGGGCAGCTAAATAGTAGTAGTGTAGTATTTTTAAGAGCACACCACAATAGTTTATGTCACGTGTTTACCCATACAAAAAGGTATTAAACAGAGAATCCAGAGACTTGAAAATGCACAATGATAAATATAACAGTGCATGCCAGAGAACATAAAGAATTTTAGGCAGGAGAACCATCTTAATCAAATAAATACGACCCATAATCCCTAGAGGAGTTCAAGCCCAGGCCTGTAGTTTGAATTTCAATATCGGGTATAGAGGTTCCAGTCTGAGCCGAAGATAATCCTCAGCTGCTCGAGAAATGTAAACCAATTAATTTACATGTATTGGGATTTTTTTTTTTTTGCAAAGACATGTAGCAGAATACATTTTGGCCTAAATATATGACGAAATTTGATTTTTTTTTTAACTGGATATGTTTTATAGCAAAAAGTCAAAAATGTTGGGTTGGTTTTTTTTTTCAAAATAGTCGGGACTTTTTTTGCTTATTGCGGGAAAAAAAAAAAAATGCAGTGACGATCAAATACCACTGAAAGAAAGCACTAATTGTGGGGGAAAAAAAAAGGACATACATTTCATTTGAGTGAAGCACTGCATGACTGTGCAATCGTCAGTTAAAGTAACGCAGCGCAAACAATGGCCTGGTCAGAAGAAGGGGGGTAAATCTTCTGGAGGGCAAGTGGTTAAAATTGCAAATTAAACTTTAAAAGGTTTATAAATGAATTGTTTGAAAGAAAAAACACATTCTGTCCTCTGAAGAGGGAACCACATGGTGGCACCATTCTACTTATTTTGCATAGCCAACAAGCAGAAAGCAGTTTAGCTCCAGTTAAATCCTGCACTCTGTTACATAATAAGCTCCCATTTCTAAGTAAATAATCAGAATTTGTACCTCCAGCATAGTATAATACTACAGGCATACAGAAGTTATTTTCTCCAATTAACACACATGCAGTTTTAGCACCAACCTATAGTGGAATCCATAGACCAGCAGAGGGTGCAGTCAAAGTACAGAATTAAAGGTTCCCTTTCAGGGAGAATACAGGTGCATGGGAATTTGTTTTGGAAAAAACCCTTATGTTACTATTGTTCGGATGGTAAATACAGAGCAAGGTCATAGAAATCTATGCAAGTTTCTAAGCCACCAAACTACTATCTCCAAAAGGACAAAGCAAGATAATCCTTTCTTTGGATTGCCATTCCCCAGCATTGCCGGGGACAAAGGCTCCATTATTGTATATTGTTCAACTACCTCCACAGTAGACATCCAGGGTGAAAACACATCTTTGAAATAATAAAGCAATAAAGATGCTCAATACATGTTAGCCAAAATTTCCAGCCCAGCCGTCTGTAGTGTATAAGCTTTCTATTTGTTAAGCATATGGGAATCTCTAATATTGGTCAAAGTCGCTTTAAAACCCTGCTCTTTTCTTATCCTAAAGTATTTGTTCTACCAAAAAATTTTTAGGCATCAACTTTGTTGGGAGTACATCCAGAAAGCTTGTTTTTTGCCAACACTCCTTATGGATCAGTACTGCTGCTTGAACTTCCAGGCCTGACAGCATGCACTGTAGAGGTCACATGACTGTTCTCATCAGTAGTATTAGGGTCAGTCATTGCCATTGACGGCACAGCACATGCCTGCCCTGTCCCCGGCCTGCAATGTCAGCTGTACCAATGATCCTCATCACAACTGATGGCATTCCAGGTTGGGGCACAAAACCTTAATCATTATTCCTAGTGTACTGATAAGGCGCATGCATGCCACGTCTCAGGCAGAACACAGTTCAGGATACCAACAAGCTATTACGAATGATATAAAACGAATCAGCAGTTACTGTTCCTGCATGTCACCCCCCCCCCCTTTAAGAAGTCTGCTCACAGCAATCAGGAACGGATTCTTTTGTGCAGGAACTGCTGCACTCAAGTCATGTAAGTATGTAGGTCATTTTTATCAAATACTAAATGTCTCCTTAAAGGCATGAAATTAACATCAAACACAAACAGTATTTGGGAAAAAGCACGTGAACGCTAGCTACTCACAATTTTGCATCTGCGAACGATCGCACCAAACACTGGTCTTTTTTCACAGACGTTTCATCACTGCAACTAGGAGATACAACCTAAGGCAGGCAAACAAAAAAGAGAAGTTTTTTTCTTTAAAAATACATTTGTTTTGAAAACAAAAGTTTATTTGAAATAGCCTAACTTCTGCACAGGAAGTGGTTACTTCATATTGAACAAAAAGCCCATTCATCTATATGGTGATCACTGGATAAAACATTAAATTTGACTGTACATGTCAATCCAAAACAAAAAAAAAAAAATGAATGGCACTCGGCTTACTGCTATGCACGTACGTTAAAGTTATTCAAAGCACTGGAAATATCTATTAACAAGGACTATTAATGACCTAGTGTTACTAAACCCAGGACCCTGCATTCACTATATCTGGTCTCCCCGGACCCTGCATTCACTATACCTGGTCTCCCAGGACCCTGCATTCACCATACCTGGTCTCCCACAGGACACACAACATGGAAATGCAATTATTTTAGTAAATATAAACTGCTAAATACCTTTTCTCATCGGCAGTTAGAGCAGTATTGTGACTTCAGCAGAGCACTGGTTAAAGCTTGTAGGAGGAGTTTTTCTTTCTGCTCTAGGAGGATGTGAAACCCTGAACCTCTGTCTGGACAGTGCTGATTGGCCCTGTGCTGATAACATGCACTCTCCCAAGGAAAAAAAAAAAACCTCTCTAGCAATATACACTAAACTGAGCATGTGCAGAATGGCTACGGTTCATTCTGTCTTATCAGGAGATAAGATGTGGACATTTGAACAAGAGGAGGAGCAGAGAAGTCTGGATCAAATGGCCCTTTTACACAATGCAAATTAACCCCTTAGGCTCCACAGTGAGTATAACATGCTTTACTGCATTTACAGACTGATTTTACTGTTGTGGGTTTAGTAACAAAATCTATATGAATTGCAGCTTACACCCTTCGATGTGGAGGCTGGATTTTTTTTATTTAGCGAAGTAAATATACCGCAGGTACAGAAAAATACTTTTAGATCCTTCCAGATATTTTATTCAAGTGCTTGCTTGCTGGTCACCACAGCCTCTTTTCCTTCTGCGGGTGGCTGAGAGCAATCAACGCTTACATATTATTGGAGCGCAGCTCAGTTCTGGAGTACTGTGAGCCCGAGGGGGAGAAGACAGGCTTGGCTTACAAGAAATGGGCAGAATGACAGAATGCCGTTCTGCCCTGAAGAGTACCATTGGCACAGGACAAATGAAGAAATCAGGGACAGGAAGGGAGCATGGAGAGGATAAATGAAGATTAACACTATTTTTTTTAAGGCCCTGTTCACACCATACATGCAGAAAACTGATGTAAACTGATGAGCAGATTTCACTTGCAGAGACATCAGCTTACATCAGTTTTCATGTGCGCTCCAATGAGTTTCATACACGTTGAAGATTACTACACAGAAAAAAAATCTGCATGCGATACTAGTATTGTGGTGTGAACAGAGCTCATAGAGAACAATCGATTTTGCCCTTGCCAAACATATGAAGAAAAACTGATGTCTTCGCACCATGGTGTGAATGAGCCCTTACACACTGCTCAAAAAAAATTAAAGGAACAATTTTTAATCAGAGTATAGCATCAAGTCAGTTAAACTCCTGGGATATTGATCTGGTCAGTTAAGTAGCAGAGGGGGTTGTTAATCAGTTTTAGCTGCTTTGGTGTTAATGAAATTAACAACAGGTGCACTAGATGGGCAGCAATGCGACAACCCCCAAAACAGGAATGGTTTTACAAATGGAGGCCACTGGCATTTAATTCCCTACTCATCTTTTCTGACTGTTTTTCATGTGTTTTGCATTTGGCTGGGGTCAGTGTCACTACTGGTAGCATGAGGTGATACCTGAACCCTACAGAGGTTGCACAGGCAGTCCAACTCCTCCAGGATGGCACATCAATACGTACCATTGCCAGAAGGTTTGCTGCATCTCCCAGCACAGTCTTAAGAGCATGGAGGCGATTCCAGGAGACAGGCAGTTATTCTAGGAGAGCTGGACAGAGCAATAGAAGGTCCTTAACCCATCAGCAGGACCGGTATCCTTTGTGCAAGGAGGAACAGGATGAGCACTGCCAGAGCCCTACAAAATTACCTCCAGCAGGCCACTGGTGTGAATGTCTCTGACCAAACAATCAGAAATAAACTTAATGAGGGTCCTCCAGTGGCCATGTGCTCACTGCCCGGCACCATAGATCTCGATTGGCATTTGCCATTGAACACCAAAATTGGCAGGTCCACCACTGGCTCCCTGTGCTTTCCACAGATGAGAGCAGGTTCACCCTGAGCACATGTGACAGATGTGAAAGGGTCTGGAGAAGCCATGGAGAACATTATGCTGCCTGGAAAATCATTCATCATGACCATTTTGGTGGGGGTCAGTGAAGGTCTGGGAGGCATATCCATGGAGGGGTGCACAGACCTTTACAGGCTAGACAATGGCGCCCTGACTGCCATCAGATATCAGGATGAAATCCCTGGACCCACTGTCAGACCCTACCTTGATGCAGTGGCTCCTGGGTTCCTCCTGGTGCACAACAATGCCCGACTTCATGTGGCGAGAGTATACAGGTAGTTCCTGGAGGATGAAGGAATTGATACCAATGAATGGCCCCCACACTCACCTGACCTAAATCCAGTAGAACACCTCTGGTATATCATGTTCTGGTCCATCCGACGCCGCCAGGTTGCACCTCAGACTGTGCAGGAGCTGGTCCAGATCTGGGAGGAAATACCCCAGGACACCATCCATTGTCAGGCATGCATACAACCACGCAGGGGCCATAAAAACTATCATTTTGATATGCTGCAATGAAATTTCAGCAAAATGGACTGCTGCATAATTTTTCCACTTTGATGGAAATGAAAATTATCAACCTACAGGGGACTGAATTCAAAGAGACCCTGAAAATCAAATGATGGGGCATCCTTACGCTCCTAACACATTACCCAATCCATATCAGTATAGATATCCAGCATGAGATTTTTCCCCACTGAGATCTGATCTGATGTGTTTTCAAAGTGTTCCTTAAATTTTTTTGAGCAGTGTACATTGGGGTAATTTATTTTTTTTTAAAAGAACAGATTATAGGATTAGAAGATCTGATGTCTGTCTATGTCCACTCACTTTGCAATAGAAGTCTGCTTGCTATAGCTGCCTGTGTTTCGGTGGCTGGCAGCCATTAATGGAAGCAGTCCTGGGGGGTATGATGATTATTTCTGGCGTAGAAATGGCTTAAAGGTCTTAAGAGGTCTCAAAAAGGAGTAAGGAGTAGAACTGATCGTGATAAAGGAAACTCCACTTGACCTGCTCCACTATAGTAATGATCTGTTTTGGCTCCAATAAAATACTTAAAAAATAAAACACAGTGTAGTAAAAGATAAGAAACAGTAGTTTGTTCTCAGCAGTAGCATTAGTGTGGACCTTAAACCACCCTGGGCTGTATAGTTAGAATCAGATTATACAATCTTCCTCAGATTTAACAGCAGTAATGCAGGAGGAGAGTCCAAAAGCCTATACACTAAATTATTGGTTTAGGCAAAATTATAAAAATGATGCAGAGGTTTGGTGTGGCTTGGAAGAAATCAAAATTTACCCAAAGAAGAGTCATAGGCATAAGTAATATAACTGTGTAAGTGAGACCAGCTGTAACCATCACTGGTCGAATATTTCTGATACATGAAATAGTTCTACTTCATTCAATCTGGTAAAAAAGTGAGGGAAGAATATATAATCAGCCTGGAAAGACCTAGACCTTTCCCTAGGAACAGGCGTTTACATTAAAGATGGTCTTTGAAATAAACTTTGGGTGTGCATGGCTCTTAGTTTTATGCAACTGCTAGAATTTTAAAATGACAAATAACTATTGGGGTCTTCAATGGTGAGAGGTTAGCCCATGAGATACAAGAGTCAGGGCCCTAGACCATTCCTAAAATTAGGTAGCCAGTCCTTGTAAAACCAACAATCTGTTGCAAAATCTCAGTCTCAAACTCTGAGCTATCAAAACGTCTGGTCCTCCACATAGGGAATCATTAACTTCACATTAGTGGCCCATTAGTTACTACATGGCTGTGGTGTCAGCTGTTGTGTTCATCATACAAAAGCAATTGCACAACGGAAGAACCAGACAAAATTTTGACTTGTTCACTTTAAGTTCCAATGAAAACCCTGTTAACTGTACCAAGCTGCTTTGACCAAGAAGGGCATAGTGTGTATAGTTCCTACACGGTTTACAAAAATTTACAATATACAGTTCACAAAAAAGCCAGACACAGTATAGGTAAACTACAATATTTAAAAAAAAAAAAAAAAAAAAAAGCACACACAGAAAAAGAGATGTCAGCAGATAGTTTCACAAACTTTGCAGGCCCCACTGACATGGCAAAACCTAGGTTCCCCAATTATAAAAATAACTACTTTTAACCACTCACTCACCGCCCTATAGCAGATATACTAATACAGGGCGGCCGCTCTGCCCAAAACCACGTAAATATTTGTGATTTTGCAGTTCCGGGTAGGGGTCGCACGCCGCTCTAACTGCGCTGGCATTGGTTGCAGCGGATGTCAATCACTGGGTCTCAGCCGGAACTCTGTGAACGTCACTAAAGCTGAGAGGGGAGAGATGTGTGTGTAAACAACACAGATGTCTCTCCTATCAGCATAGACATGTTGTTTTCTCTCTCTCTCTCTCTCTGCACAGCAGGGAGAAAGCAGCATTTCTCCATAGTAAAACAGCACACAGTTAACTCTTTGATAGCCCCAGAGGTTAACCCCTTCCTGCCTAGTGTCATTAGTACAGTGTCAGTGCTTTTTATTAGTGTCACTGGAGATGTCAGTGGGCGTTAGTTGCCAACCAGTGTCAGAATCCCCTCCTCAGTCCTGCTATAAGTCACTGATCGCCGCCATTACTAGTATAAAAAATAACAATAATAATGCAGTATATATACCGCCATTTGTAGACGTTATAACTTTACATAAACCAATTAAATTTACACGTATTGGAATTTATAAAAAATTTTTTTTCTTTAGGAAAGA